AGAGATGAGGAGAAAAGCGAAATGGAGAAAGGGAGACTCAAAGGGTCGAATGGAAGAAGTAGGTGGGATAAAAATGAAAGAGGAAAGGACAGAAGACAAGAGGAGAGAAAGAAGAACAAAAGGACAGAAGTGAAGAGGTAAGGAGAGTCATCCACTAATCACAGGGTTGGTGGTTTGAACCCCAAATTGTTCCTAGTCAGATCGGCACCTTGTGGGAAAAAAGGCTCTATAAATGCAGCCATTCACCATTCAGAGGGACAGAGACAGAGGGACAGAAGGGAGGAAGACAGAAAGACAGCATGGAAGAGTAGAGGAGAGGTGAAGACAAGGCAGTGAAATAACGGTGTATGTGAAAGCAGAGTCTGCAGGTGAGTGTGAGGGAACCAGAGAGGGTAAAGGAGACAGAACAGAGCCACAGAGAGACAGAGAAAGAGCAGCAGAGGTCCAGATAAACAGACATGGCAGACAGGAAGTGGACACTGTTGTCAATCATAGTAATCAGCATTCAGAGACTGAGCCGAGCTGCCGCCGGTCGAAGCCAGCCGGGACCTCTGCTGGAAAACACTATAAAAAAGTGAGTGAAAGTGGGAGAGATACACACGGCTTCACATTTTTTCTCTGCACAGTTAATCACTCAGAAACACCTCTGGGTATGTGTGTATAAATATCTGTACATGTATGCGCAGACTTTAAAGAGGATGAATTTAAATTGAGTTTTAATTAGATAGTGACAGTGGAGAGGTGACAGGAAATGAGACAGAGATGTGGAATGACCAGCAACAAAGGCCCTCAGCCAGACAGAAATCAGGGATGTTGTGGCTCATGGTCCATGCCTAGAACCCCAGGAGTCTATTTCTTATATTTCTTTCACAGGGTTGCCAGATCCAGTCACTTCTTTTGGGCTTGTTTCCATAGCCCTGGTTGCTTGTTTCTCTCCCAAGATCTGGCAACACTGACAAGCCGGCAAGCAACAACAACAAAGGCAGCGTCCACAGGATCACGAGAAGTGTGTTGTTTGGACCCAGGCCCTGGAGGCAGATCTGATTCAACACTGGGAAGAATATCCATGCCTTTACCATGTGTTGTCTCCAAGTTGAAAAACGTAGTTTGGTGACATCACCGTGTTATCTGGGGCTCTGTCAGCGAGGGCTCGGTGGAGACAAAGTCAAAGTTATGAGGAGGTAAGTCAAACTTAAGAACATATTAATATTTAAAGTTTAATTTTAAATTTTCATAACATCTTAAGGCCTTTGCACACTGAGTCCACTTTTTCATCTGAAATTGTCCCACATCTAAAAATAAATACAACCTAACATTGTACAAATCATGTTCGCACACTGAGTCTGAAACTTTTGTCCGTCATTAAAACTTTTTGGAACAGGTTCAATTTTCTGCGTTTTTCGCATCTGTAAGAGCCTGTAGAGACGTTGGACTAAGAATCAGTGAAGAAAATGTGGTGGTGGGACACAGCCATGACAAGACAGAGTAAGGGGGCACACAGAATCATTTCATAACTCAGCTCACTTTCAACAGGTCAGATAGTGATATTCAGGCGGATGCTGATGAAGAGGAGGAGGATGTGGACAGCACACAGAAGCCCCTTTTACACTGCCAGATTTTCAGCGAATGTTGGGCCGTTTTGCCGGCAAGCTGTGAGCATTTAGACACACAGAGCCGGATTGGCAAGTTGATCCGAGGTGCCCAATTTTCCGCCTCGTAGAGTAGACATACTGGCAGAATCTTTTTGGTTTAAAAAGACCGAGGCCCTTCCGCCACGGGAGGGGCTGTTGATGACTTGTGGGAGGAGCTGTTGATGACGCCGCATGTGCAACCCACTGGCGGTGGATAAACAGGAAACAGCTGACAGCAGGAATTAGCGAGCAGCTAGTAGCAAGAGGGAAACACAAACCCGACAGACACTGTAAAGATGAGCAACTGGGGAGACAAGGAATTGCGCGCCCTCCTTGTCCTCGCAAACGAAGAGGCCATTAACCGTCAGATGACGGGGACGGTGAAGAACGGGCCGACTTATGAGAGAATCGCCGAAGGACTGACCAGCCACGGCTTCTCTCCCACGTCACTGTTTACGTCACACACTGAGCTACATGTTTTGTTACTTGCTCACGCCCTCCATTGCCCCGAAAAAGACACATTCTGTACAAACAAAAGTAGGTAGGAGGCATTTTGCTGCACTCCCCGATTTTGTTTTTATACTGCCAATGCTGAAAAAAGACTGATTGGGCTTTCCTGCAAATTTGCACAATTCCTATTTAAAAAGGGTTAAAGAGTGAGACAGACAGGGAGGACAGCTCCGCCCCTTCATGCAGCTGTGGTGCCAAATGAAAGACAGGGAGGGAGTCATGACAGCCAGATAGGTAACTCCAGTGGAGAGAGGCAAAGGAGGAAATGTGTCTTTTCATTTTGTCTTGTATTGCTAATTTTTGCAACAAATAGAACGATGAAACTCCCACAGTCCAAAGACATGCAGGTTAATTGGTGACTCTAAATTGTCCGCAGGTGTGAATGTGAGTGTGAATGGTTGTCTGTCTCTATGTGTCAGCCCTGTGATAGTCTGGTGACTGGGGCTCTGATTGGCTGCCATCAACAAACAAGTTGACATCTTTCCAGTCAGACCAGTTTGCATTGTGTGAAGCAGAAAGCCTCGATCCACTCAGATGTACCTCATCTGGATAATTGTGGAAAGCAGTCAGGGTTGAGTATTGTGATTCAAATTGTGCTTTGCCACATTCTCAGACAAAACAGAAAGAAACAAAAGGTAAAGGACTGCCACAAAAGAGTGTAAACAAAATTATGCAATCAATGCTATCGAACATATGCATTTGAAAAGATTATGGATTGCATCGCTGGCTTTAAAGGATTTTTTTTAAATATTTCTGGGACGATGCTTTCACAGGAAATGCATGACAAGTATTGAGGATTACAGCCAGTCCCCAGAAAGCGAGCTGAAGCTGCGTCGGATTCTGTATTACTCTGATAAAATCAATGACAGCACAGTCCTCTTCATGGCTGGCTCATATTTCCCCTGCTGATAAACACAGGCCTGATCTGAAATCATAACGTGCTTGTCAGAAGTTAGCTTTGTTTGTCTGATTGGGTGAGCTCCCTGCTTTAATGTTTCAAGTCTTCTCCTCCATCAGTGGTTTACATAAACGTTATCATGCCTGTCAGAATTTGTGTGTACTGTATATATGTATGCGTGGCACAATCTTCTCCAACCAATCCCTGGTCCCTCTGGAGGGCTTTGATCATCAGCAGACGTCTTGCTGAGTAACAGCAGCTCCATAGGAGCTGGGAGGGGGGGGCTGCTTCTCCATCTGCATTAAAATGTCTCATTAAAGTCATGCCTCCTCGCAGTGCAGCCAGCAAATGGTAAGTTCAGCATTTGGCCAATTTCTTCCACTACTAGAAAGGCTTCTCTGTGGCATCTGTGATGAGTAAACACTGCTTTAGTAATCTGCAACCTGAAGGCAAAAGACAGTCTGAATCTATTATCAAATCCAACGTAGAGCAGCTTGATTAAATGACAGCGCTGAAGAGTTACTACATCGAAGACAGATGCGCACAGAAGGTGGGATATTCCCTGCTTGAAATGTAATGGCCCACTTCTTTGTGTTCTGAACGGAGGTAATCATTTCCAGAGAAAGCAGTGTTGGTATCCTGGTGCAGACAATGGAGTAGAATGCCACACAAATGCATGAGACTCCCTCTCCAGCTGTGTGTTGCCTATGATCATTCCAGATCTGTCGATATAACACTGAACCACAGCAGAGGTCTCGCAGGAGAGAGGCTGTTGTTAACGCTGACGGCTCATTTATTCAGATCATGACCACTTACAATCAGTATGTGATTGTTTTGGCAGATTAGAGGGCAGCGTAACCTCCTCTGTATTGTTTCTGGCCCTGGGAAACAGAACTGAGTGCTTACTAACACTGACTCAGCTCTCAGAAGACATGAAAGAAACTACTGAGAAATGAAAAACTAAAGTTAAGTTGTGGTTTTATGTTGAAAAGTTTAATCCGGTATGGTTTAAGAAATAAATGTGCCTCCTTTACAGCTTTAAATAAATTATGTTTCATTGATTCTTTTGCCCATTTGGTCGAAGAACAGTTTTTCCCCTGCCTCAGTGAATGGAAAATATAAGTCCAATATTCACTCTCATCCTGCACTTCTCTGATCTCTTTCAGTTCCTGAGAAAAATTTCGGACTTATCAACTACTAAATGTTTCCCTTCTTTCACCATCCAGTCACTTACTAACCATAGCCCTTTTTTTACACAGAGATCGGGCTACAGAGCCGCTACGAAGTCCCATCTTTATACTTCCTTTGCATTTTGACACAGACTATTACTCATGTGTTACCAATCAGACCGTGCTGTGGGCAGGACACTGAGTGAGGTAACAGAGTGGTGACTGCAGACAGAGGAGCTGCATCGAAGAGAAACAATTTAAAGCAGCAGAGATTACAGCTAAAAAGTAAAAAACATAGTAGAAGTGTTAGTGGATATCATGGATTTGAGAGAAACTAAGTTATGATGATGCAATGTTTCAACCCCTCGAAGCAAGAACTCCGTTAGATACTCATTTATCTTGGTATATGGAAAATAATCCTCAGGAACACGTTTATTTTTTCAGAGACTCATGAAGGAGAAGCTCAAGGAGACAGATGGTGGAACAGATGCCAGACAGAAAATGGTGTGAGGATTTTGGCTCTCTATATTAGGATTCTCACAGTATTTATCCCGAGAAGCTTCTTGCTTTGACATCAATACGTTCTACCATGCCTAATAAATCACAGGTTTATAACCATTCAGCCGTGTGTATTGGTATTGACCCACAGTGCAGTGCTCTGAGGAAAAGATCTTCAGTATCAAGTGATGCCTGTTAAACTCTGTGCAGCACAAAGAACAATTAAGTTTCAAAGTGAACTTCTCTGCAACAGGACTATTCAAACTGGTGACAAAACAAGTGGCAGCGACTTACAATATTCATGAGAGTGAGGAGGTAATTCTGCACGTGCTCCTTGCCGTGAAACCGAACCACCGAGTCGTCAACTCCCAGCAGGATTTCGATATTGTAGTCGTCCTCCCCGGCATTTCGGCGCCGACGTCTGTGGGCAGTCTCATTGACCTGTCGGGCTACAGAGTCCAGAGTCCCGGGTACATCCAGCTCCGGTTCTGTGCAGGGATCAAGACAGGGGAGGTGAGAATTAACAAGACAAAAAATCGTATGCAACTACCTGAGAAACACAAATGCTTCTGTCTACAACAATATCTTTTGGGCTTTAATGTTAAAATTCTACTGAATACATTTATACCTCAATCTTTCATTACATAAACAATTACACTATTTACAAGACAACAGCACTGAGGCTGTCAGAGGGTTAAATCAATATTAATGAGTGATTCATGTAGCTGCAGGTCTTCTCCAGATTATGTAAATGTTTTAGATACCAGGGGTCACTGTGTGGTAGAGCTTTAATTCTGGTGGTTACTCAGTGTTTTGTCTGATCAAATATTTATTTACTTTCCTTGCACAGTATTTGTAATAAATCATACACACATAGCTGCATCTCATCCATACGTGTCCCCATATTTTACAAACTTTGAGGTTACTGAAACTCAAGAAGAAATAACGGTAACACTTTACTTCAAGGTATCTACATAGGAGTGACATGACACTGTCATAATGATGACATGACACGGTCATGAACCTGTCATGAACATTATGTACATGTCAAAACGTTTATGACTTGACATTAACCAGGATGACATTACCAGAAGATGTCTTTACGTTAATGTCAAGTTGTCATTATAAGGACATCCCAAACAAATTTAATGCCAACCTGTCATGACAAAGACAACTTCTGGTACTGCCACTTTAATTAATGACTAGTTGTCATAATCAAGACAACCCAAACAATGTCAACTTGCCATTACAAAAACCGAATGACACTTAATGACAGCAGTCATAAACACTTATGACATGTACATAATGTTTATGACAAGTTCATGACAGTGTCATGTCACCCTTATGTAGATACTTTCAAGTAAAGTGTTACCGAAATAACTAACCTATTGTCTCACCCTTCCCTCCTCCCTGTGATTCTTAGTCATATAATATAAAGAGTGACAAGAGAAGAAAAAGTATTCTTGGTGTTTTATATTTGACGACTGCAAACAAACAACTCAACCATTAGAAACTAGAATAATCACCTCACCGTTTTATGCCTCTGCCAAGCAGTGAAGCTGCAGTTTACATCCATGTCTGTCCAGACTCATATATATGAAGTGAAGGAATTTTAAATTACGTATAGTGTTTTTGGCAAAATATGGATGCTTCACACACATCTTCAATGAAGCAGCACAAAAGATAAATAAAATCGCCACAGTAACTGACCGAATGTCTTCCCTTCTGTTCCGGAGTTATGATATTGGCCAGGAAAGTGTTCTGTGTAATATCATGATGTCACAGTAAATTAAACTTTGACCTTTCGGACATAAAATGCCATAATTTCAGCATTTTATCCTCAGACATTTGTGTGAAATTTTGTCATAATTAGGGTATGAATTCTAGAGTTATGTGAGGTCACAGTGACCTTTGACCACCATCCTCATACATGCGGACAACCTGAAAACATAATGCGTCTGGCCACGGGTGTCACTGGTGTGAAGGCATAAAAATACCAGGTTCATATTCTGGATCCAGTTTCTCAAATGAGTGGGTATGCTGCATTTTTTTCTGTTTCATATCATTGTAATTTAGATATTTTGGGGGTTATGGAGGGTTGGTTGAAAAAAGCAAGCATTCTGAAGATGACACCCTGGGCTATGGGAAACTGTGATGAGCACTGTTTTCTGATTATTTATTGACGAACAATTATTTCAGAGAATAATCAATGGTAAAAATAACTGTTAGTTGCAGTCCAAATGTTGATTACTAAAACTGAATCTATGTACAACACACACAAAAAGAAGTGATGCATTTGAGATGTCATAAAGTTGGCCAAACAACACTTGCAAGTTTACTTTTTTTGTTGTTGCAAAAATCAGTGTTTGACTTTATTTAAAAAATCATTTTATTCTATTAGTTTTGATGTAAGCTGATTCCAACTAGAAAAACAGCTCTTTCAACATGATTAGAGCCATGAACTTTATCAACCAAATATCACTCTTAAGTTTGTAGCATTCTGAATGTATGAATGTTAAAGTGGCACAAAGGCACTCGTGTAGCAGTTTAACCTTCTGTCTGTCACTCTTTAGTGGGCATTTACATCCAAGGCCTAAAGTAAATTAAATACAGTGTGCATTTAAATTCATCATTGACACACCGTTCCACACACATCCAGCTAATGTTTCCTGTGTTTACTTATCGTTCGCTCGGGGCTGTTAATGAAGCCTTGGGGTGCTTTGTCAGGTAAAGCCTCTGGAAAAACCCTCAAGGCTCTTGAGCTCACAGTGTTTGTAATCTGCTGAGTGTGAGATAATAGCTCTGTGACACTGTAGTGAAAACAGCATTCAAGCAGTGAATCACGTAATCATCATGTAATATCATGAATCACAACTTTGCCTCAAGAGGCTTTAACATCTCTATACGGCACCTCCTATGGTTAGTTGACCCTGGCTTTGAATAAACTCCCCCCAAAAACCCTTTATTGAGGACAGATTATGTTCATTTTCAGGTTCAAACTAGTATTTTGGGTTTAGACTAAAACATGTGTACAGGCTTTAATGTTCAAAAATCACTTTATTTTCCTCATACTGTCAGTGCTGGAACACCTGTGTTCACCCTTTGTCTGAGATGCTTTGTATTAGCACCTGTGTTCATCCCAATATCCCTCCTTGACTCCTCTGTTCTCCATCTTTGATCACTTGACCCGGTGATAAGAAAAATCTTTGTTGCACAATTTGCACACAACCATGCTCTTATGCAAGCTGCCATCGGGACTGCTCAACAAGCCAAGCAATGCTGTCTCGTCTTCCATCACTGTTCACCAAACTTTCTTGTGCGCTGACATCACTCAATGCATCCTGTGCATCTTCTTCACGGCAGGCAAACAAACTTTAGGTGCATTACCACCACCTACCGGGCCGGAGTGTGTGCATCAGTGTTACTGGTGTGCCAGAAATTAGGGAACTGAGAAAGGTGTGATTAAATGTGTAGTGTACCTTAGAAAGTGGCCACTGAGTGTATGAATTGCACCTATATATCTGTATGTAAGAGACAAAACAGAGAAAAGCATAACAAGTCCCCTTTAATGGGGAAAAATGTGAGAAACCTCAGGAAGGTGAACTGAGGAGGATTCCCTCTCTCTTGCCTGACAGACATGCAGCATGACTCACTGCCAGTAAGAGAGTGAGGGCAAAAAACTTTATAGTTATTTATAGGGATTTTACAATCAACATTATTTGCTGAGGTTAAATAAAAGAAAAGTCACACTCGACTTCAAAGCAAGTTTCTGTCTCCACTTGATATGAAAATGAAGATTTGACAGTATTCGGTCCCCTCTGCACTAAATGCTACTGAACTAGACCATGAAAAAATGCTAATACTTCCCTTTTTGATGGAATGGCACACAAGTACTTAACGTCTATCTTAATACTGCTTATCTTTACACTCTGAGGGACGAGGCCATCACGTCTCATTGCTGATATGAAATCCTTCATCTTGTCCCCATGGTAAGCCTCAAGACTACTGCTCTGAGAGCTGATCAGGTGGCCTTATAGATCCCTTACTTTACACTTTGCTTTACAGCAGAACGCACTAGAGATTCGATTTCCCACTCTAACAACTGGAAAATGCTGAATCCTTCAGGTAGCAGCGGCTTGGTTGGTCATAAAAGCAGCTAGAGCTGCAGGTTGAAAACTCTGTGGGGAACAACTTGGCCCATGAATGAATCATCAGAGACTGTTTAGCTTTGCTGGAGCTGCAGGTCAACAGTAAGGCTGTGATTACACCTTCTGTTTGTTTTGTTTGGTCCCAGTGGCAGTCGAAAATCGGACTTTTTTGTTAGTTCTGTATTTCATTCATTTTAATCTTGTTTGGGGTAATCGCAAATTGGAATGAAGAGTCTGAACCTCCAGTGCACACAACTTTGTTTAAAAGTTCCTGAAATGTTTTCTCAACCTTCACAACATCACTCAAGCACAAGTTTACATCTTATTATACTCCACAGTTCATCAAACTCTGAAGCTCTTAATTTTGAAAGAAATACTGCGATTTGAATCTTGTTAATTTTCCATCAACAAAGTGAAAGACCTCAGATTTCTTCGTTAGCTTCTTCCACACACCAAAGAACCAACTTAATACGTACATGATGTGAATATGTAATGCATCAAACAATGAAATTCACTTAAATATCTCATTAACTGCTGACAAAAGCTCTCTGTCAGTCATCACAGATCCATCTGCAAATATGCATAATCAATCAAGAGAAGAGAAATAGCAAGAAACAAAATGTCAGTCTTGCTTTGACTGCAGGCTTTTAGCCTTGTAATGTTCTTTGTTTACACATTATTAGCACTCTATGAAAGCTATAATTATTCAGTAATTACGCTGGCGTTAATTACATATCCACAGGCTGACAGCTTAAATGTTTGACTAATGCACACACTGGTATATCCTGATCAGCAAAACCATTAAAACCATTTATAGTTAAAGTGAATAACACTGATCATCTCATTACAATGCAATATTATGCTGGGAAACCTTTGGACCTGACACAAATGTGGATGCCACCAGTTACAATCCACCCACCCAAACAACATTACTGAACACCAGTACACTCTTTCATGGCAACTGCACTCCCCGATGGCAGTGGCCCCCTCAGCAGGACAATGCGCCGTGCCACATCCAAAAACTGCTCAGGAATGGCCCTGAGATTGTGACAAAGAGCTCAAGGCAGCCACCTGGCCTCTAAAGTCCCCACATCCCAATATGATCGAGCATCCGTGGGAGGTGGTGGTACCCCAGAGGTCCTGTGTCCATGCTTTGACAGTTCAGAGGCCTCACAGTGGATCAGACTTGGCTCTGACCTGGTGAGGCACGGGCACAGACCCTCTAGGGGTGTCCTGTGGGTTGCAAGGTGGGGTACCACCATGTCCTATAGATGCCCGATCATATTGGTTACTGAGGAATTTAGAGGCAAGGTTGTCGCCTTGACCTCTGTATCACATCC